CATATAGACTTTGTCGAGATCTATCACTTCAGCCGAGACCATATAGAAATTACGCATAGTGTTATTTCGGACTTCCAGAGAAAATAGTTTCTGATAATGGACCTCAGTTGGTCTCATTTCTGAGAAACAATGGTATTCAACACAATTTGGTACCTATTAACAATCCAGCATCCAACAGAGAAAACCGTGAAATATAACTTGACTAAAAAAGTGTTAGACCCTAGCAAAAGTTCTTTATTACATCAATTAGCTGTATTTCTTCTAGTATATAGGTCTACACCTCATTCAGTTACTGGTCAAACTCCAGCCTATTTATTTTTGAAGAGGAAATTGGAAACCGATTTACCCTCTTAAAACCTAATCTCGAACAGGCCGTAAATAAAAAACAGGATAAACAGGTTCAATATCATGATAAGTCAGGAGTAAAAAATACATCAAGTTAAGGTGGGGGAAAAGACGTATGTAAAGAAATTTCGAAGAAATGGTGATAGGATTAGTTTCTGGTATTGATCAACGTACTGGTACCTTAATCTATAAGGTAGATATCAATGGTATCACAAAATTGATTCACATTCGATTCGGGCATGTACTCAGACTTAAATACTGCTGAATTTGGTGTCAAACAATCTAACCATTCAAAACCTGTTCCAGATTCCTCTGATAAGCACTACAAGTCTACAATATATAATAGCTCTGACATCTCTATTATATCACAGACTTGGCTGCTAAATCTAGTGACATTTCAGATATGTCAAAATCTCCACCTACTCCTGTTCAAACTTCAGAGTATGTGGTAACACGGAGTGATAGTTGCACAACTAAAACTGTAGGAACTGTTGAACGACGTTATTACCCATTGAGAATGAGAAAACCAAAAGTGTTGTTGGATTTATAAGAAACATTTAACTGTTGAACTGTTAGTGTTAAGAAAAAAAAATATTTTGTCTGTGACTTTTGTAATATTTTCTGAGTGAACCTTCTATTTAGGAGGGAGAGTGTAGTAAATCGGGGTTGTTATTGTCACACTACTGTGCACATACTACTACATGCGTAATAAAGAAAGAAAGTGGTACACATTGCAGCCATCTTGCGTTCAGGTGTTTTTCTTACTGCCGTAGTTTGAGTGCAATGCATTAAGCAGGCTTGCAACTACTTTTATTTTGAGGTGAATTGAAAAAAAATCCTATGCACCAAAGGCCTGGGATGAGTGATTTCTTTGTCTGTTGCTCGTGTGTTCCTCTTCTGAAAAATCATATTAGGCCCTTGAGGATGTTAGATTTTATTATTCTCACACCAGTAACTACCAAATCAAATGTTATTCAACTAATTTCTAATCATAAAAATGAATAGTTAATTTTGTATTCTATTTAATGAACGAACTTGAAATACGAGCAAATCATCACTTCCAAAAAGAAATTTGTTCAAAAAATTAGGATTACTAACCCATACAGATATAATTAATTTTAACAGATTCGATTGAATATAGAGGGCGCTATGCTACTCGCCTGAAGCATTGCTTTCTAGACAAAACTTATGTGAAAAAGGTGTTTTATTCAAAAAAAGCAACAATTATTGAGAGAATTAGGTTCCGTAAAATAACTGATTTTTTAGTTGTGGCTGTAACTCCATTATGATTTTAATAAATTGATGTGATAGAAATCTGTAAAATAGAGTTTGTGTTATGCTTATAACAAAGGAATTGTTTTGAAACGCATTCAAGTTATAACACCTGATACCCGTATAATCAAAACACTTTGAACCTATTGTCATGAATTAGTTTTCGCGTATCTGTTGACCGACTTTATTAGTTGATTATTAGCGAATTGCTGTGTTATGTCTGTCATCGTTTAGGCCTATTTGAAGTTTTGGACGGAACTTGGCTCATTGATTTGGAACTAATTACCAGATAACCGCCGCTATTCAGACTACTCATTCTGACAGTTTATATTCATAGTTATTAATGTAATGAACGATTAATCAAAAAATATGACGTATTCAGTACTTAGTGTGATTGGCTTTATGATTGAAGGTTGCGCCCTAGAGTCTTTTTACTGCTTTGTAATTGGTTAGAGTTTTGAAAATGAATAAAGAGAGTTTGAGTTGGTCTTGGGGAGGACTCCACGATAGACGCAGTCTGAGTGCAGTCCTGGAGAGACTTGGGGCGAGCCTTGACGCAGTCTAAGAGAGTCTTGGGTCAGCCTTGCGATAGTCTTGGGGATTTTCCCCAGGGCGCTGTGTCTTATAGAGTGCTCGATTGACCGACTAAGACGAGAGCTGAAACGTATTTCGTTGTGTGTGTCTTATTTGACTGTAAAGTATAAGTGACTTTCCTGATCCCGTACCTCAAGGGGACGCGACTGAGAGACGAGACGAGATTCCCCCCTGGCAAGTGTGGAGAACTCAGAGAGAGAGGATTTTACCCCTGATACTATTAACACAAAAGTGTCACTGATTCCATTCAATTCCATTGTTTTCGTCTAATCTTGTTGCGTATTGGTGGATATCACTTTGTTCATAGTAAAATATAGACTTTAATGAGATGCGAAATGTTTGGGGTCAAGGGTAAAAATTTGCTCATGGCCTAATAAACGTGACACATTACATTGTAATTTCCGCCGATGCCCGTGCATTGCATGTTGTCACTTCTCAACTCTTCTCAGGTGGTATTAATTTTTATTAAATACACACTACAT